TGTAGAACCGGGACCTTTGGAAAAAGGAAGGATTTGTCCTCAGATGGAAGCGGATCCGAAAAAGGCATGAGGGCATGTGAACTTGAGAAGGGCCCTCAGGCCCAGGCGTTGAGGCCCGTCTTCTCAAAATAGGGAGTCGGGTGCAACGAAACAGGCATTTTGCAAGAGGCAACTTTTACGATTTCTGTGTTGGGAGGAATCTGTAGAAAATCTGAAATTTTAAGAATCCATAGATGAGGTCGTGTTTTTTTCAAGAAAAACATTATAACATTTTTTTTAAATCATTTAGACTCTGAAATAATTGTCGCGTCGATTCGGCGCATTTTTTATTTTTTCCACTCAACCATGTGTGGGGTAACTGAAAAAGTACTTCAAATTCAGCGAGTTTTTACGTCCAGAAAAATATGTGAAAAAACCTGAAAATTTGAGTACTTGTAAATTTTGTTGTGATCTTTTCAGGAAAAACACTAAATAAATTAAAAAAAATAATTCCAACCATGAAATAGATCGTGGCCGCAACTTGACCCATATTTCATTTGCCATTCAGCCTCTCTCTCTCTCTCTCTCTCTCTCTCTCCGAGTGTGTGTGTGGTAGCCCTCCCCCCCTCCCTCTCTCTCTCTCTCTCTCATTCTTTCTCCCTCTCACTCTCTGTCTCTCTCTCACTCATATGAACAAATAAAAAAAACTCTCTCTGTTTCTTTTTTTTTCTCTCTCTCTCTCTCTCTCTCTCTCTCTCTCTCTAGTAGCCCCCCTCCCCCCTTTCTCTCTCTCTCTCTTTCTTTCTCTCTCACACTCATAGCAAGAAATGGAACAAAAATCTTTATCTCACTTTTTGTCTCTCTCGCTTTGTCTCTCTCTCTCACTCATCTCAATAGATGAAACAATTTTTTTTTATTTTTTATTTTTATTTTTATTTTTCTCTCTCTCTTATGCGTGTTCTTGGTCTCATTGCTTTGGCTACCTTAGGGTTGCGTTCCCTGTATCCACACGGTAGACAATTCACATGCCCTCACTTCTTTTTGGGGTGCGCTTCCGCCCGAGAACCGGTTGAACCTCCCCCATTTTTTTTTTGGGTCCGCTTCCACCAAATGACCGATCCTTCGTTTTTCCAAAAGTCCCGGCTCTACCAGAGCTAGCTGTAGGTAGTCTGTAATTTTGCCAAGGACCGGTCCCCCAAATTTGTTTGCCCCCTAAGAACCCACTTTTCATTCTAGTCGCCCGCCGCAAAAAATACGACACCTTGACACAGACGCCGAAACCCACTATATTGCAGCCTTAGGGCTGCAAATAGATGTCGAAAAGGTCCACTGAAGGAAAATTCAGTTTTGGGTGAGGTAATGATAAATAATTGCAGCCTATGGGCTGCAGATGAACAATGCATCATTGACTTACCGTGAGGGCATGGGTGCGCAGCCCGTAGTTTGTATATGCTTAATTGATAAAGGAGGTGTTATTAGTGTTAGAAATAGGGTGATTGTTGCATTAAAAAAAAAGAGTATTTGTGTGTATGTGTTAAGATTAGTGTGCGTGTGTTTATGTGATACTTAGGGTGTTTGTGGTTATCACATCCGTTAGTGTTGGAATGTGTGGGAATTAGGTAATGTGTATGGTATTAATGTATTAGATATTTGACATACCTTGATTCATAGTTGGTTTTTAGGTTTGTGGTCCTTGAATCTTGGTCCATATGTCGTATATGTGTGTGCTTGAGTGTTTGTTGTTGTAAGTTCTTTTTTTTAATTAATTAAAAGTTATTTTGTCACATGTGACTCGGTGAATCGGGCACTGAACGTGTGGGGCGTTACATACGTCAACGTTCAGACACATCTGTTTGCACTTGCAAATGCAATGCAGGTGTGTCGTTCCAACCTGCGGTCAAGTCCGTGCCCTTTCAGACTCAGACTTTATCACTTTTCCACCTTGCCGCTGCTTTGCCACCGTTTCGACCAAAACCCAGAGCGCGGTCTCACGGGTAGCTACTGGTCCCGCATTTTTCAAAGAAACTGCCACCCCCCCCCAAAGATCCACCTTGCCGCCGCTTTGTCACCGTTTCGACCAAAACCCAGCATGCGGTCCCACGGGCAGCGATCAGTCCCGCATTAAAAAAAAAAACTGCCACCACCCCTCAAAGTGTCGTGCCTGCATCTGCCTGCATTTTTTGAACCTTCTAACGACCAAACGAGCCCGAATCAACGACTGGTATAACTAAGGACGACGAAAATGTTCGCAGCCCATCAGGGGTGCGTTTCCCCCTCTTGAGACATCTCAACGTCAACCAAATTTAAACGTCGGTGGTCGTCGGGAGGGTGGGCATTTTGAGGTTTTGAGGCTTTCAAGGGTCAGGAACGCGAAGGACCGGTAGCTCCCCGTAGGAGGCCAAGGAGGCCGCGGTCCTTAAGCCTTTTTCGAAAATTGAAACGGTGCGGGTACACTCTTCTCGAATCACAAATTTCCTCGAGTAGAAAACGTACACCTTGTATTTGAACACAATATGTACCCTTTCTATTCGCAGCCCTTAGGCTGCGGTATAGTGGGCTTCCGCGTCTGTATCAAGGTGTCGCATTTTTGGCGGTGGGAGACCAGGACGCAAAGTGGGTTCTTAGGGGGCAAAAAAAATTGGGGGACCGGTCCATGCCAAAATTGTGGACTACCTACAGCTAGCTCTGGTAGAGCCGGGATTTTTGGAAAAACGAAGGACCGGTCCTCGGGTAGAAGCGGACCCCCAAAAGAAGTGAGGGCATGTGAACTGCAAAAGGGCCCTCAGGCCCAGGCGTTGAGCCCCGTTTTCTCAAAACAGGGAGGTCGGGCACAACGAAACAGGCGTTTTCCAAGAGGCAACTTTGACGATTTTTTGTGCTCAGACGAACATGCACAAAAATCTGAAATTTTGATCATCCATAGATGAGGTTGTGTTCTTTCCATAAATAATAATAGAACATTTACAAAAAATCATTTAGACTGCAAAATAATCGTCGTGCCGATTCAGCACATTTTCCATTTTTGCCACTCAGCCATGCCTGGGCTAACTAAAAAAGTACTCAAAATTCAGTGAGTTTTCGCGCTCAGAAGAATGCATGAAAACACCTGAAAATTGGAGTACTCGTAGATTTTGTTGTGATATTTCCAGGAAAAACGCTACAAAAATTTTTAAAAACATCATTCCAACTGCGAAATAGATTGCGGCCGCAATTTGACCCATATTTCAATTTTGCCATTCAGCCTCTCTCTCTCTCTCTCTCTCTCTCTCTCTCTCGTATCAACAAATGCAACAAAACTCTCTCTCTCTCTCTCTCTCTCTCTCTCTCTCTCTCTCTCTCTCTCTCTCTCTAGTAGTCCCCTGTCCCCTCTCTCTCTCTCTCTCTCTCTCTGGTAGGCCTCCCCTCTCCCTCTCTCTCTATTTCTTTCTCTCTCTCACATTCATAACAATAAATGGAACAATACTCTCTCTCTCTCTCTCTCTCTCTCTCTCTCTCTCTCTTGTGTTAGCTCTTAGTCTCATTGATTTGGCTACCTTAGGGCTGCGTTCCCCGCGCCCACGCGGTAGACAATTCAGATTTCCAAAAGAAAAAACTTTTGTATTCCAATACAATTACTTTTTTTTTGGAGGTCAGCGCCTGCCCTTGTGCTCTCCGCTACTGACATGCTGCATGCTGCAAGTCTCTCTCTCTCTCTCTCTCTCACACACACACACACACACACACACACACACACACACACACACACACACATGCATGCACACACGCACGCACGCGCACTCTCTCTCTCTCTCT